TCATATTTTTAATGATATGTTTTATAAGTCTAAATTCCTTTTAATATTCCTCTGATATACAAATCTTCTGAAATAACCGACTTAATATATTAGAATTGAGACTCTTTTCAGGTATTTAATACTACAGTAGCAATTATTAAACACACAGTACATTGTAATTGTTTTTGTTCTTAAATTGCCCTTTCCACGCGTTCTTTCAACCATTAGAAACATAATAGCGTTAAACGGCTAAATTATGCTGGAGGAACCACAAATATCTCTACATTTAAAGCTTTTTCAAACTGAAACAGAGGTGAATGGACAAGATTACAATTAATTGTGACATTTTTCTTCAACAACAGCACTCTTCGCGGCTCCTGCCGGCTCTATACCGACCCTGTTTCACACGCAATCTTTTCCTTATTCAGTCGCTAACACACCTTTTGTATCCCACTATGAAGAACATCAACATTTCCACCAAAACCCCGAAAAAATAATCATTTTATAGATGAAATAATAAAATATTTCAAACAATTTGTTTTGCTTTTGCCAACGCATGCGCAGTTCGGTCGACATAAAGTTTTCTGTATGTCTGATTCGGATTATCCCAGAGCCTTCGTTTCCTTCCCAAGGATCGCAGGCTCAGGGAACGAGATTGAAAATATGGCACTTATCCCTTTCCCTATTTTTCAGTATATTTTTCTTCGTTTTGATTGTTTAAATTGCGCGATTTACCGAATGCTACAATGCTACAATGTAGCCTTGCCATGTAGCTGTTCTTGCTTTTACGTTTATTAAATCAACCACCCAGTATTTAAACAAATACCCCGATTGCCTAGCACGTTGTCGAGTTAAAAATATCAACTCTATTATTTAATATTTGCAATCATAGACAATCGTGAATCGAGTAGAATGAACTGTAAACAGCGCCGCAATGTAAAAAGCTATCGTCATTTTTAAATTTTTGTTATTTAAGGTGGCTCCCTACAGTTTTTGAAATATGACAAAATTGTGATTTTATAGATTTAATTTTTTGAATAGAGGTTTCTTGTTAGAAGACAAAAATTGTAACACATATATTGAGCAATCTACTAAGAGTTGAAAATTGTTCACAAAAATAACGTCATAACCGTTGCTATGGTAACAATGACGTTTCAATATGGCCGACATTTTACCTTTTAACACATTTTACTCGAAAAAAAAGGCCGGTTACCCCCATTTTTTATTTCGTGAAACGTTTTCATTCAGAAAAGTGAATGATGTGAACAAGTTTAAAAAAATTCTGAAGATCATTTATCACGAAAAATCACGTTTTTTAATTTTTTAAAAATTCTGATCTACAAAATTTTTTAAACTTGTTCATATCATTCATTTTTCTAAACGAAAACGTTTCACGAAATAAAAAATGGGGGGTAACCGGCCTTTTTACTCCGGGTACTGTAAGTACCGGAGTATTAAAATGTCAGATCTTTTTTCTTAGGCGACACAAGTGTGCACTTCCACAGGTGCACCGTACGCAGCACACGCAACGCACTACAAAAATACGAAATATCTAAAAATAGCCGCCATTCGTAGTAAGGTCGGAGCGAGCGTTGTGTTTACAATGTATTTAGTTCTATTTACAGTAAATATTATCAAATGAAGGGTTCTCATACACTCGTTTTTATACAGTGACCACAGTTCATATAAATACAAATCGAAATTCGAGACTTTATCGCGTGTTTAGTAGCGGTTGCCGTTATTGCAAAGCTAGTTCTGATCGACAAATGGCTTGGTTCGTCACTGACGTTAGCCTGTATTTTTTAATTGAGGTTCCTGAAGGGGGGGGTCCCAATCCCATTTCCCACCTGAAATTTTGGCAAAATCCCAGTCCCAGTTGCATTTTTATTAGAAATCCCAGTCCAAGTTATTGAAATCCCAGTCAATAAAAAACCCTTTATTTATCGGTACAATAAACAGTTTTAAGACTTTTAAGCTGCCGTGTGTGCAAGTGGCGAACACTTTATGAAATATTGGGGGAGCTTCGTGCCGAAGGCACGGAAAATTTTTAAATTTGAATCCCGGAAATGGCATTTGCAGCATTCTGAGACACGCATAATCAGAAAACCCAGAATTTCGGGCGCCAGAGTATGCCTGTTCTCAGGTAGTGCTGTGAATAATATAGTTAACAACAAAAATCATGACCAAAGACACGAAAAACGGATCAAAATTGTATTTTAAAATACTTAAAACGTAGAAAAATTGGGAATCGACTCGCATTACCTCAATCCCATTCCCATTTTTGAGGACTTCATTTCCCATTCCCAGTGGCCAAATCCCAGTCCCAGCAACCCAAATCCCATTTTCCCAGTCTAAAAATAGATCAATCCCAGTTCCCATTTTACCCTTTCAGGGCCCTCTTAATTGTGTCAACACTATACGTAGTTAAATTGTATTAACACTCGTCTTCTTTAAGTCTCCCTTTGTGCCTCGTGGCCAAAATTGAAGTACAAACAACGCACAAATCTATTCGACATTTAGACATATGACATATCTGAAAGTCTTCGATTCGCAAGGCAATTTATATCGCAAACCACAACAATATTGGCAATATGTCTACCACGCTTGAATTAGACAAAAGCGCATATAAAATATATTTAACTAGATAGCTTTACCCAACACTATTACGTCTATTACACAGTTTAATGTTTTATTTATAGAGTATTAAAAATCGGTCTCGACGGCTGCAATGTCTTGGTCTTAAAGTAAAATCATTACTAAGATGCTTAAAACAATCTAAACGTTTGATAATAACAAACTTACAGCGAAGCCTTACAAATTAAAACAATCAATCTGTATAAACAAAATATCAACATAACACTAGTTAATTATGAGTTATGGTGCCAGTTATATGAACTTACTACCATGCATTGAAAAAGTGTTGACAATTAACTATATGACACGACTAACAATATATTACTTTTTAAATAATTTTCTTTGCGTGTTTAATAAATGTGGTTTGTTTACGTAATTCAGTTTCAGGAGTTTTTCTCGAGGGTCGAGGGCGGGAAGCGAGGGTCGAAAAATCATATATAAAACGTCGAGGGTCTTATAAAAAAGTCGACGGTCATCAGTAAAAAGTCCGGGGTCGTATTTCTAAAATATTTTATGGTTTTTATTGTCGAGGGTAGAAATTTGCGGGCATTCCCTATAGATAAATTTGCAAGTGGGGCAAGCACGATAGCGAAAACAATACTTTCAAGATGGCGTCGCGAACCCGAAAAAGGCGTATGGCAATGGCAAGGTGCAAACAAATCCTGATTACTCTGATTCAATAGACCATATAGTGAATAGACAATACAATAATTTGCGACATGCAATCCGAGATAACGCAGATAATGCACCACGCCGTTTGAAACTATCTCGACTGTAGCTTTTGATCGGCATGTCTGTTTTCATAAAACAATAAAACGACAATAAAAAAAAAAACATAAAATATTTGTAAAATACGGCCTCCGACTAATAATATTATATACGACTCGATAAAACACTCCTACGCATGTTTTAAATACTACTTTTAATAAAGAACTAGGTAGCTGTTATTAGAGATAAAAGAGATATTTTTATGTTGTAAAATTTATGATCATTGCATATATGTTTTTAGTCACCTGGTAAAGTGGTTACACTGTAGTTCTCCCACTTTTCCAACTTTAATACGCTAAATATCATGCATTAAAGATACCTTCATTGCCGTATATAAGGATATGTTAAAGTAGCTTTGCGCTTAGTTAAGGCCCTGTACCCGGAGTGGACGCCTGAGTAGGCGTCTTGTTTCGATTAAAATGTGTTAAATGGTAAAATGTCGGCCATTTTGAAATGTCATTGTTACCATAGCAACGGTAATGACGTAATTTTTGTGAACAATTTTCAACTCTTAGAAGATTGCTCAATATATGTGGTATAATTTTTGTCTTCTAACAAGAAACCTATCTTCAACAAATTAAATCTAAATCACGATTTTGTCATATGTCAAAAACTGTACTATATATCCTGTAATGAACTTTTTTGCTTTAATTTGAACTTTATTTACATATTTACAATGCTTGATACTTCGATATATAAACCGTATATAATCGTATTCGTTCGTTCGACTTGCTCGTTTCGATAACAACAACAATACTCGTGTTCGTCACGTCATCATCCAACTAAATTCAACCAATAACAATAACAATAACAATAACAATAACATGCAACCTATTACCTAATATAATATTCCGCATATATTTAACCTAACTCTATAACAAATACTATATATTAAAGATAAAGATGGCTAGGAGAATATTTGAAACCATGCCATTTGGCTTTTTTGCGCAGACACCCAGATAATAGTTTTATTTATTAAATTAATTAAGCCAGTTCAAAGTCAATATTAAAATAGTAAAATGTTTGTGAATTAGTGTCGAAGCCAGCCAAAAATTCTTGATCATGCTTCGAGCGGCGAAGGCGCGAGGCTTTCTAGGGGAGTCCGGGGGCATGCCCCCCCCCGAAAATTTTGAAAATTAGAACCCCGGAAATGCCATTTCCTGCATGAATTTATGCATTGAATTCTAAGCTCCAATACGACCTCAAGATGGAGCAAAACTTTGCAAATTTACTGTATTTTAGCCAAAAATGACAATTTGATCACCAATTTGAGGAAGCATTACAGAAGGTAAACTAGGGATCCACGGATAGTGTAAAATTTCAAATTGAAAAAGAGACTGCAAGAACTGTATAGGGTCGCCCACAACCTAGAACAGTAGGAACAGGTACAGGCTAGAGCAGACATAGGCTGGAGTAGTAGAGTAAGTCTCCTCATAAGGCTACTGATATGCTGAACTTATTTAAAACTATGATTATTCCCATCATCCTTTTAGCGCCCATATTGCACATTTGACTATTATCTCAGTGACAAATATAAATAACCAGAAATAACTTTTTAATAAAAAGTTTTTAATTTTAAATAACTTTTTAATAAAGAGAAACTATTTATTTGATATATACTACATTTTTCGTTTACTCAAAACAGCTAAAATTCACAACAAGATTTAAAATTTGTACTTGAACAAGGCATGCCATCCACCTGTAAACCTGTAAACGTTTCGTTGGGATACACCAAATGGTTCAGGAGATATTGACTGCGGCCACTCCCCCCCCCCCCCATCCTGCAAGACCAAAAATAGCCCAGGCTGAATGGATAGGGTTAGAGAAAAATAAATAGTTGAAATAACAATCTAATGAAAAGTTTATTAAACTTTATTTCGATATTTAACATATTTAATTCAAAACTTCAACAGAGTAGCGTAACACTTTTAACTGGGAATTGTTTTAAGGGAATGCTGGTGATTCGTTGAGTTATCACAACGGAATGAAGTTCACCACCAAGGACAGAGACAATGATCAATCGGCAAGTAACTGTGCTGTGGTGTACAAAAGTGCTTGGTGGTATAACAGCTGTCACTACTCCAACCTCAATGGGCAGTACCTCACGAAAGATCAGAGAGCATCCCGGGGCATTAACTGGCGACGTTGGAAAAATGACTATAGATCTATGAAGAAAACAGAGATGAAAACACGACCTGCACAATTTTAGAAATTTCGAGATCACGTTTTCTGATTAATTATGAACTAAATGTACTCAAAGTATAATCTATCCTTTCTCTAATCATGCGACCCGGCCTCGTCTCTCATATTTGTTGGCAAACAGTGCAACAGCAAACGATTACAACAAGCGAAGCAGTGACTATACAGTAATAAAATAATAATTGTACCGAGAGTGCGCACAATGATTCGTGCCAAAGCACATGTTTTCGCTCGTGTTTCGTATTTCGTTTCTCAGTTTAACAAATGGATATTAGAGGTTTTTAAATCTTACACATACTTCCGGGGTCAGGCTTTATACAATTTGTGAGCCAGTTAGTCTAATAACCTTCGAATAACAAAAAGCTTCAATCAAACTTTTCAACGGCTTGATGCTTGTGATGTTACTATGAATGTATATCCACACCGGGCAAGCTAGCCCAACGGCTTGTTTTGAAATAAAGTTGAACGGTCATTAACAAACACATATAATTCAACCAAAACATGGGTTTAGCATTCCACTTAGGGTTAATAGTGCTAATGCCGTAATGGGAGTAACGAGTTTAATTAATTAAAAAACAGGCCCGGAAGTACATATTTTACGGTTATCGTAAACTGTAGATTGTCATATGACTCATATCTGTATTATTTTATCAGTCGGTTTCGTAAAACCACTGTATATGCTAAAAAAAAGAAGTTTAGTGCGGTCTCAGTTTGAAGAGAACAAGCGCCGACGTTTCGATTCGTTTTTCCCCCCGGAAAAGAACGCTGACGGGGAAATTAGAATTTAAAAAAAAATTTAAAGAATTTAAAAACCGCGGCAAAATACCCGCTAAAAAACCCGCGACTTTCGTTAATAACCCGCGACTAAAACCCGCGACAATTAGATTAGTGAGAGTTAAAGCCCGAGTGCCGAGGCTGTTAAGGCGGATTTCCATTCAGTGGAAAAAGTCGCGCGATCGACTTTTTGCGATCACTTTCTTTTGAAATACAAGCAATCAAGGGCAACGGGTGAGGTTGACTGAACGCATTTGAAAAGAAAGTGATCGCAAAAAGTCG